ATGAGCGCTGGGTATGGTCCACTGGAGGAGCCTCACTGTCCCTCTCAGGCTATGCAGGGGGGGCCCTGGACAGTGGCACAAACTTCCCAGAGCCCTGGGCAGTGAAGGTCAAGCGCCTAGTCCGGCCCTTGAGCTCCCACGGCACCAGGACCCCACAGCCCTGCCTAGCCCAGCCCAGCCGCACTTCCCCAAGGGGGCACCTAGCTGTGCTTACCTCCTTCTTGAGGCTGCGGTTGCTGTGCTCACTCTCCTTGGCCAAGTTGCTCATGGTGGGTGCAGGAGGGCAAAGTGCATGGGTCAGAGGAAGGCCCACTCCCTCTCCATGCGAGGAGACCTGGCTTTGTAACCAAAGCATCCTCAGCAATAGGATAGGAGACCACCAGGGGATGGCGAAAGGGCAACAAGGCTGCTGGTGGCCAAATGCTAAGGCAGGACTTTCCTCAAGCCCTCCCTCCCTCTCATTCCAATCTCCCTCTTTCCTTCCTTCCTTCCTCCCTCCCCTTTCCCTGCCTCCCTCCTTTTCATTCCCATCTTCTTCCTTCCTTTTTTTTCCTGTTTCCCTCCCCCCCCTTCCTTCCTTCCTTCCTTCCCTCCCTCTCTCTGTGCCCAGGAAGGGACAAGGGGAGGGGGAGAGGTTGGCAGCACTTTTCTCAAAGAATAACAAGATGTTATGATGTCACCATCCCTGGTCCTTTTCACTAAGCTAGACATACCCAATTCCCACAAACATTTGTCATATGTTTTAACCTCCAGCCCTCTAATCATCTTTGTTTACCATCCATTTAGACCAGATGTCCCCCTGGCTTGGTTTATAGAACAGTGGCCACGAGCAGAGTCTTCTCAGAGACAGCACCCCAATTATAGAACTTTCTCCCAAGGAAAATATGAACAGTGCATCCCTCACCTGTTTAGAGGCAACTCCAAACACACTGTTCAGCCAGACATATGTAGAACAACAACATATTTAATGGTCAAACAGCATTAAGTAAATTACTACTACTATTTTTCTTTCATAAAATACACACTTTTAATATTGTTTTAAGCAGTGCTGGTGATGCTTTACAATAGCTGCTGGTTCAATCTCTCTCTCTCTCTCTCTCTCTCTCTCTCTCTCTCTCTTTCCCTCTCTCTCACTCACTCAAACACAAAAACTCTCTCTGCTTTCTCCCCCTTCTCTCTGTTTTCCTCCAGCTTTACCTGAACGAAGTGGGAGGTTAAAAAAAAGAGGGGGGAGAAAGGGGGAAGCTCCCCTTTTTTGTAACACCTTGGCTTCCTCCTCCTCCTCACATACACACACACACAGAGAAACCCTTCCTGCTTTCTCCTCCTTCTCACCCTTTCTCTCCAGCCGCCACAGAGGCTCACATGTTGCCAGCCATTGGCAGTTCCAGGCTGCGGCTCTGAATCTGGTGTGAGTGCTGTGTTCCCCTCTCAGGCCCTACCACTTGACGGAGAGGGTGACCTAACCAGGAGCTAGCCAACACTTGGCTTGTGCCACCACACATTCCCACCTCCGTGCCTTTCATCCCACAAGCTGGGCATGTCCTGGGGTGCTAGGCTTACAGAACGCCATGGGCTGAGCAAGGAAAGGCGTGGTGTGGCAAAGCAGAGCTGGACAAGGAGAGGCCTGGCAAAGCAGGGCGTGGCTGGGCGTGATGTGTTAGGCTGGGAGGGGAGGGGCGGGGTGAGGCAAATGACCTGCAGCTGCTGTTGCGCACCACCAGCCCATGAGCGCTTGCTGTTTCATGTGTGCGCTGGGGGGGGGCACCGAGCTGGGGTGGGGTGGGCCAGTGCTGGGGTAGCAGGGGCTGGTCCCTTGCTATTTCTGGGACAGCCCCGGGGGCCAAATCAGGGCCCTCCACAGGCCGGATCTGGCCTGCGCGCCTTGTGTTTGACATGTCTGAAGTCTACATACTTTATTCCTGGTACACATCCCTAATTCATAAAAGGAAAAAATTAAATAAAATATAATGGCATGAAAGCAAAAAGTGCTTAACAGGAAAGGGAATTTCCTTCATCACTCCGTTGTTAAATATGTGAGAATCCTGCCTTGCATTTTTCTACCAGGAAAGGAAGCAGCAGGAGAGTGGGGGATTTTTTACACGTACTGCTTGTTTTTGTTCAAAATTGCAAAAGTCGCATGTGATTTGCAATCGAAATCTGGGGGTGATGTTTGAAACCTGAAAGTGTTTCACTCACAGGATTACCAAACTCATTCTGCATTTTTTTTTCCAAAATGAGAAAGTCACCTCTGTGACAGAGTTCATTACTCATAAAAGTTGAACTTTAAATATATGCTCAGTCTTAGAGTGGAAAAGTTTAAGACAACACCAGAACCAAAGGAAAAATAACACAATTGCACCTCTTGGAAACAAAAATGAGCACAGGCCTTTAGCTTTACCATCTCTGCTCTTCCATTCACTGATGGAGAGGATTAGCAGTCTCTAATACAGTGCAAACAGGACCCAGTGCAGTTTGGTGTTAAGTGCAAAAATAATTATAAACCTGCCCTTGTTTGCATGTGTAGCTGCTGAGCAGTTTTGTGATGCCAATTTGTTCAAGTATTTTAGCCATTATTATAAAATGAAGTACTGTAGAGCAGGGGTCCCCAACCCCAGGTCCGTTGTGCATGAAAACACCCAAAAGCTTACAATGAGGGCATATAGGCTTGCAAATAGGGCATTTTGGTCTCTCAAGCATTATCATTGGGTTTCTTGAGTCCAGAACCCTGCTGGGGTTCTGGAAGCAGCAGTGATTTGTAGGCCAATTCAACAATGACATGTTCTCCTGGGCTACTCTTGCCATCAGTCCCCTGCCCCCAGTGTAGCCCTTAGATGCCCTGGCTAGGAATAGGAGTTGTATCTGCTGTTTTGAGTGCAGACTTAGAGAGCTAGCAAATGGGAGTCAGGGTCCTACCCACATTGCCCCTCAATCCACCTGGGTGAGGTGTCCATTAGCTATGCTGCCTGGAGCACTGTATAAGCTTCAATCGAATGCATCAGAGGAGCACCAAGTTACATTAAGCTGCTTGTATCCTTGCAATCTAATGACAGTTGGTCAAAATTTAGGCAATTATAAAAAAAGGCTGGATTTTAAAAAAAAGAGAGAATGCCTGTGTAAAAACTGCATTTATTGAACACTTATATTACTTTTTTTTTTGAAAAAAAAGCCATTTTTATTTTATTTTTTAAAAAAAAGTGCTCCATGGTCAATACATTATTAACTAAATCTATTCCAAAGTGAATAAAAAAACAAGAATATACATTTCAAAACACTTAACAACTTTGGACGCAACCCCTCCGACATGTCTGTGCAAACATCGCTGAACTTCAAGTCCCATCTTTCCTCTTTGCTGTGGCAGGAACAGAGCGGCACCGCCAGAGCGATTTTGGACCAACCGGGCCCATGACGTACCATAGACCAGGGGTCCCCAACCTTGGCAACTTTTAAGACTTGTGGACTTCAACTCAGCCATGCTGGCTGAGGAATTCTGGGAGTTGAAGCCCACAAGTCTTAATGCTGCCAAGGTTGGGGACCCCTGCCATAGATGGCTGCTACGTATTTTAGCTAGAACTTGGCCTCCAAGCATCGACAGAAGCAAGTTGCAGGGAGTGAACAGAAGAAAGGATTCTTGCTGTATTTATCTGCTCACCACAGCAAAAGCCACCCTCCCTTTGGTATAAAGGATCATTAACATACATGTTCTGCTGCAAACACAAATACATTACAACAGCAGCTGAAGAACAGATTTTATAAAGCAGCATTAAATTAAAAAAAAAACTTTGGTGAAAAGACACACTGAATATTATTTTTGCCCGGAACTAAAAAAGAAAAGTTGGGGGGGGGGGGTTTGTCAGTCCAGGCAAAGGAAGCATTGTTTAACACAAGAAGATTAAAATATGCCTTTACTTGAGGTTGTAAACCCCAACACTGGATGGATTCTGCCCAATTAACTTGAAAAAACAAACAAGCAAACACTGCCACAAGGCATATTTAGTGAGAAAAATCTCCTCAACAAGAATTAAGCCCGTCTTCTTATCTCTTTATCACAATAACAATAAATAGGTATTTTATAGTGCAAAAAGGAATACGTATTTTTTTAAATGTTAAAATATCTTTAACCAGTGTATAGCATAATGCCTCATAATCACATATTTTATATGCGTGCTTAGAAAAATACTGCACATCCATGACATATTTCTGATTGGCTATATTTTTGGGTGCAAGTTAAAGAAAAAAAGGCAGATGCTTTGAATGATTAGGCTGGGATTTAATTAATCAGCTAAGGTCTAATTAAATTAAGCATTATCAAATCTCTGCATATCCGTTTCACTTGATAGCACTGGTGGAACTCAGTGTTTAATTTTGGCTGAAATATTCCCTCTGATTCACTGACCTTCTACCTTGTTCAATGGAATTTCAGATATACTTTAAGAATCTAGACTGTTATCTTTAAAATAAAAAAGACAGTGTTGGGCAAGAGATTACTTATGAGATACCTTTTAGGAACCATCTCTTTCTTTTCACAAACACCACCACAAATTTGTCCTGAAATAAAAGTGCCATTACAATATGATGGATTGCCACTGACATTAGTGGGAAAGAGACCGTCCTCAGAGGAATACAGTACATTTCTGGTAAAGCAACTCTGAGATTAAATTCAGCAGATCAATCCAGGGCACAAGGTTTTCCCTATTCTAGATCTGAAACCTGTTTCTCAAGGCTGGTCTGACTATCACACCCAGTAAAAAGAAGAGCAGTATTTACAAAGATGCATCCACCTATCTATATTAAAAAATACCCAAACTGAAATTTTCTTTTTAGGAAAATACTTTTGCAAGTCAACTATATAAAGATAAAATACACGTCCAAGATAGTTTTTACATTATTCTATAAAGTGCAGAGAGAAACCTTCACATAGGGGACTACTACTCCCCCAAGATAAGAGCAGAATTACAGCAGCTTTTGCATAGCGTTACTCAGAGGAAGCGGGGGTCTTCTCTTTCCTCAGGAGCTTGGCTCAGAAAGAGTCTCTTCGGCTACTCTGGCTTTCTGAGACAGCAACAGCTTTGCTTCAGGAACAGCTGGTGGTGCCAAACCTCCATTGAGGGCTCCTCTAGAATTGAATGTTGCTAGTCCTGCAACATGAAAAGCACACCTCAGTCAAGTTGCCCTTCTTTGCTTACTTCATACAAGGAGACGTTATCGTTATCTGAATCACAGGGCTGTGAACAAAGGAAAGATGTTCCAAATGAAGCCTTAACTCTACTCTTCCCTGGCAGGTTTTGCTTCATGTGGACAGATACCTAGGAAACTCTTAGGCCAGATACTTGTCCACTTAAGCAAGCATTATCTACCTGTAGAGTCTTTGATGCTCTCTGAACTTGGTTGGTGGTGGTTTTTTTTAGACATTTCATTAACCAACTGGGTAACATCTTCGTTGCTGAAAGGTAGTGGGGTTTGCTCTCTGTTTATATACAGTGCCTTGCCCTGTCAGTGTACCCTACTCCCTAAATGTTACCCAGTTGGCTGATGAAATTCAGTAGGGCTCCACAGTTCAGCCCTGAGTTACGAGTATTTTCTTCTATTGCTTTTACTTAGACTAGCAACAGCCTTTGGTATGCCAACCTTCCCATTGCCATATATTTTATACTATACCAGGGGTGTCAAACTCAATTTCATTGAGGGCCACATCAGCATTGCAGTTGTCTTCGGGGGCCGGGTAGGTGTGGCCAGGGTGGGCACGGCCTACTGGGTGGGCATGGCCAGCTCTACATCGTTCGCATCAAGGGGGCCTATGGGAGCCTGGGCAGGAGTGGGACAGATCTGAGGGTCTCTGGCAGAAGGGGGTGGGACCAGGGCAAGCGCCAAGGCATGGTCCACTGGAAGAGCCTGCCGAAACCCCTCCCCCGGAGCCCATCAAACCGGATATGTGAAGTAGGTGAGGGCCATTTGCTCGCCACTTCCAGGCGATAGTGCATTTCTTCATTCCTCACGAAGGGTGACACCTCCCCAGCATCCACCCAGGGGCCGGGGCTGACACGGCAGAGGCCAGTCCCTCACTGTTTCCAGACGGCCTTGTGGAGCTAAAACTGAATGCGTTTCAGCATAGATGGCACCATAAAATTGTACATTGGATCCCAGGCGGCCGGGGCAAGGCAGTGGGGGCCATTCCCTCACTGTTTGCAGGATGGCTTCGCGGGCCACATGAAACCATGTCGCGGGCCGTATCTGGCCCCCGGGCCTTGTGTTTGACATGTCTGTACTATACCAAGAAATCATCCCAAGATCGAAGTCCTACATATATAGTAAATCACATTTCAGAGTTAGATCCCTTCTGAAGAAAGCTAGTGCACTGGGACCTGCTCAGGTATGAGATCCCATTAAAAGCTCAACTAGCACCCAGCCCCAGGTGTTGGGAATCCTGTGTGCAATTCAGAAAACTGACCACAGGAATGGACTGCCTTTGTAAGTCAGGACTGCACAACTGGGCAGAAGCAGTGATTATAGTGGCAGGATCATGTCACATGAAAGAGTAAGAGAAGGATTTTATTTATTTTTTCCCTCAGTTTTTCCTACAGAGGCATGGGGGGGCTGGCTTTCCTCGCTTCTTAAAACTATCTCACCCCCAAATGGGAAACACACTGCGTTGGACTTTCAGTCATTGCAGTCAGACAGAGATGAGAGGCTACAAAAGAGGCTTGAGTCCTCACACTGTCCGATTCTTCATCCTGATCTTCCTTCTTCACACCACAAGAAATACCACTGAGTTTAATTTTAACTTAAGGTACATCTGCTATATAAGAAAATTGCCATTGCTTAACATCATTAAAGTTAGGAAAAATATGTCTCTGAATCACCACTTCAGTGTTTCATGTGCACTTTTTCGCTACTTACAGCATTGTGCCTGTTCTCTATCTTTAACAAACTACTGAATCCATCTTAATTGAACAAGTGTAGTGCAAGAGAGTTACTGTAACTTAGTTTGAGATTTACTGTTATTCTAGCAAAAACACAGGCTAAGATGTAAAAAAATGAGTACAAATGACAACATCCACAAGGTAGTATGTCCTTACTGTCTGTATCTTCAAAGGGAACATCTATGGAAGGTTCTGTATCTGAGACTGTTCTTCTCCACCGGTGGGAAAGCTGATGGGAAGATACATTTGGTTCTTTTCCAAAGCGACTACTCCTAAAATTAGAGTATTGCACAAGTTATGACATATTCAGTTTGCTGGGGCAAACTGGCAGTTCTGGGTGTAGGGTGGCCAAAGGGTAGAGTTAGGGTAGAGCTGGGTGGATGGGGTGAGTTGGAGACAGTCCCTTAATTTACTGAGGCTTGGGGCTGGGAGGGACCGAACCCAGAATGGCTTGGATTGGGGCAAGTATTTATTTATCAACCTGCAATTCTTGGTTAACAACCGCAAAGAGAGTGCTCGGAGTACCATAGTACATCAGTCAGTCATGTGATATCTCACTTTTGAGTGCCCTGACTTACAAGGTCATAACTGTGAACAGTCACTAAATGAGGACTGCCTGTACAAGACAGAACTATCATACTGAATTCAATCTAGTCATGAATTAATTTTCAATTATATCATGTAAGAGAAACTCACCAGAACTACATTTTTTCAAAATTAATGTGAGATTATATGAAGCAACAGGCTGTGAATTTCAATTACCAGACCATGGACTGTTCCCATTGATTTGGGATCGGGCAATATTTCACAATGTGATGAGTGAATCTTTAACATTTTGGTTCTAATTTGTTTGATTTTGAAATAGTAATTATTTAATCACAACTTCATACTTACCTCTCAAGGGTACAAGTTCCAGGATGGCTAACAGAACGTTTCATCTAAAAAATAATGTAAGTAGTAAAGCAGGTTATTATAAATTTTGAAATACTAATTGTATCTTAGTCCATTTCTAATGAAACATTATTTTAAAAATATGTATTTAAAATGTTTTTTTCAGAATTTACAGAGGAGGAATATGTATTATCTGAAAGCAAATGAGATTTATAACATCAGAATTAAAAAATAATTATTGTTTTTATTGTTGTTTTTAAGTATTTAGTTTCCCAAGGGCAAGGAGACCTGGAAGCACTATTTTAAGCAAAGGAGAAGAAGAAACCATGGCTGCTTGGAAGGTCAGAACAGTTTAGGGCTGGGACTAGTCATCCATGGAGGTCCTCAGTTTCCATTAAACTCCATAGGTCAGGCATGTCAAACTGCCGGCCCGCAGGCTAGATGCGTCATGACGAAACCGCACCCACCCCATTGCCAGCAATGGGGAAAAAGTCGTGATATATCTCACGACGTCACGTGACATCGTGAGTTTGACATGCCTGCCATAGGTAATCTTGGTTTTTTTGCCCATAGACAAATATTACTGGACAGTAAAAGTATGTGGTAATATCCTCCACAACATGCAAGCTTGTTATCAGAAGTACATGCTTCTAAAGGCAAGGTTTCCTGTAAGGTTTGAGACTTTCATAACTGATGGCAGAAGCCTAGCCTGGTGACCTGTACAAGGACAACACTGAGGAACTGTATGCTAGCTTATCCCCTATTGCTCCCTCCCAAAGTTCCCCAAATCCTAGGAATGTTTGACATTAAAGAATATCCAACCATTTGCACAGGTGAAGGAGACACAGGAGAAACTAAAGGATCAGGATGAGGCAACGGAAACATCTCTGGCTTAAATTTGGCATTTGCAATTTTCACACATTCTTCAAGTGTTGTGATAAACGTGTCACAGGTGGCACTGAGCAAGGAAGAAGCTTCATTCATATTCTGAAAACAAAAGGAAAGAGCAGATATTGTAAACTCTTAGAGCAAAATGTTTCCTAGCAAATCTTTTCACCAATTTAACTGTAATTTAACTATAAACCAGCAATTGTAACTGCTGGTTTGTAGGGACTTAACTTACTTTGATGAACACCAAATATTTTTCCAATGGCTAGGTAGGGTGCAGATGTTGACTGTACCACCTCAGACATTTTTGTTGTGGTAAACTTTATGACATGATAAAATTATTACTTTAAATATTTAAAAAGAGAGAAGAACAGGCAGCTTTCCAGATGTTGGCAAACTGGAGAAGCTCCAGCCAACATATTCATTATCAATACAGGAGCACATGAACAGTGCAAGGAGTTGGAGCTAATGAGATAAATCAGGGGTCCCCAACCTATGGGCGGGCCACGGCCTGTTGGCCACCAGGAATAGCTGGCGAGCCCCACCCCAGTTGCGATAGCATCGCTGTGTGGGCACTAGCTGCCCCATTTGCGCATGAGCGGGGGCGCTAGTACTGCCACCGTCACGCAGGTGGAGCTGCGCACAGGCACATTTCCCTACTGCTCCCTTTCCTTCCGGAAAGGTTGGGGAACTCTGAGCTAAATGGCCTCTAACATTAACTCTGTGAGTCAATGTTTATGTTTCTTGCAAGTGAACCTGAAATGCATCCCCTGAACAAGAGATGCCAGATTTTATTTCTCTTTTCCATTGCAGCACGGATGGCATTCCCCCCCCCCAGCCTGCTTTCATATAGAAGATTGTAAAAGCAATTATTCAGGATGGTATTATCACAGCAACTAATCAACCTTACAGAAAAAAAATCAAAGAATTGTTAATTGTCCATCTCCTGAGCACAAAGATCTCTCAATTTGTTAAATACAAATTTAATGGTTTTCATGCTTTGGAAACTGATTTTGACTGTAGTAGACAACTGTGCAAAAAGGGGCTAGAAGAGCTACTGGTTTTTACACTTACACACAAATGACACATAACAATTTATTATTTGTGATTTTTATAAAGTGTGAAGACTGATTCGAAAATCACTATCTTTTAAAGGTGTATTATAATTTGGGTCTTGGGTCTGTACTTTTTACTTCCTTTCACTTTACAATCAACAAAAAGTGAATTTATATTATAGGGTTTCCAAGATTCTGATGATATTGGATTTCTAACTGATGTAATAGCTTTATTTCAAAATAGACAGAAGCAAATAGTTATTTCTTTAGAGGCTGAGAAAGGTTTTATAAGGTGGGAGGCATTTGTTGATCTGAAGCAAATAGATTCCAGAAAAGTCTGGATATTCATACCTTAATGGTTAAGTATGTTATGGTTAAGTAGATACATTTACTGAGCAACTACATCATATTCTAATAGTGTATTTTCTTCTTTTAATTTACAACACAAAATCTCAACAGAAAGTACATGAATTACATATACTTTTTAAATAATTAGCCCTTCAACATCCTGATTTTGTCAACAGAAATTCTGAAAATATTGTTGATAATGTGGTAATTGAGATGAAATAGAAAATAGCCATTGCCTCCAAAAGTTGCTTTATATTTCATAGATAATAAGATTAGGGGTAGGTGCGTCTAGTTTATTTTAATAGAAGAGTTAAGATTTTGTCTGGTTAATCTATAAATTGGGTAGATAAGACTACATTATTCGGTAATAATTTTGATATATTAACCCATACGCTTTACAATTGTTTACTGATTTTTTTTATTACCTTGGTTTAATGACTTCTAAAAATGTTTCTGACACTGGTTGATATAAATTAGGTCACCAATGAAACAAGATATAGATAGATGGTCTAGAATTCCTTTAGTTATCTAGGTGAAATAAATGCAATTTTCAACAAGGTTAACTAGTTAAGAGGCTTTTCCTATTTTTATTCCACCACACTATTTTAAGTGTTTTATAAATTATTATAATTTATAAGATATATTGTATATGTTCACTGCTTTAGGTTGTTTGTAAAAATAATAAAGGTGGGATACAAATAAAATACATAAATAAATAAAACAATTTTACTTCATAATGTAGTCTCACTGCATATGTTATATTATAATAGGGCTGCTGAATGAACCAATGTATCTCTGTTGAAACAGTTGGGGTATTTTTTTGCAGAACTTAAAACAAAATTTGATTATATCACAACATTTCTTTATAGTTTATAAAATTATTAGCTGGACTCAGATCTCAAAGGCACTTGTTCTCTGAAATGCTCCATCTGTTAAATAACTTGGAAATATGTGCAGCTTCTAACTTAGTAACTGGAATCCAAAACAGGAAAATACAGGGACAATTTTGTTACATGTGTCTTCATTTTTGTAGCCAAACTTTCTTGTATGGGATATTTTGCTGATACATTAAAACCTTGATTCTCTGGGTTTTATTACTGAAGTTGAAGTGGATTCAATCACTTCTGCATATCTGAATATGCAGAATATGCACTTCTGCATATTCAATCAATTCTGCATATCTGTGAGATTCAATTATTACTGGTAGTATGGCAGTGATGGGCTACTAAGGTACTCTCAGATAAAGCTATGGATCCAATATGATACTGTTACACATCTTTATAATCCAAGAACTTAAATAGGTGAATAAAAGCTCCTTCAAACAATTATATATTACCTCAATGCTAGGTGAGGAATGATTCTCATCATGATGAACATATTCTTGTATTGTATGGACCTGCTGCATCAAGAGGTCACAATAGAGACGCAGTTCAGACATTTTGGTTTTTAGAGATTCGTTGGTTTCATTTATTTCTGGAAGAATATCAGAAAACGGAAACTTCACTAATCGTGGTTATAAGTACCGTCCTCAAAAATAAAAATCAATATTCACATTTAATCTCTTTCAAACTGCCTTGCAAACTGCTCTTTTTGCCAATTTCCAATTTAACCTCTGTTTTGTAGTTCTTCATAAATCCATTTTTTCCAATGGGTTTACGAAGTGTGTAGAGCATGCTAACTAACTGTTTTGATGCACCCTGCAAAAGTGACTGATGGCAGTGTTGGCTCCTTTGAAAGCGGAGATGCTATGTTACACAGAAAACAGTATTAGTGTATATGGGTCAATTTTGCCTTCCTTTATTTATACTATTCATGTCCAACTGCAGAGTGACTCTGAAATCTGCAGTCTTCCTAAGTATCTGGCTTCTCTGAATGGGAGGATCCCAAGAACTATTATCTAAGTTTTCTTCACCTGACTGACACATTCTAGTCTATCATACAGTGCAGGTAGTCCTTGACTTACAACAGTTCACTTAGTGACCGTTCAAAGTTACAACAGTACTGAAGAAAGTGACTTATGAGCATTTTTTACTCTTACAACCATGGCCACATGATCAAAATTCAGGCACTTGGCAACTCACTCAGATGGTCGCAATGTTCCAGGCCCCCTTTTGCGACCTTCTGACAAGCAGTCATTGGGGCAGCCAGATTCATTTAACAATTGTGTTACTAACTTGATAATGGTGATTCACTTAACAACTGTGGCAAGAAAGGTCACTGACTGGGGCAAAACTCACTTAATAAATGTCTTGCTTTGCAACAGAAATTTGGGCTCAATTGTGGTCATAAGTCGAGGACTATCTGTACATTCATTGTTGCTCAGGGCAGTAGAATTGTGTGCACCCTGAAACAGGATCCACAAAAGCAGCGGGTTTTACTTTTAAGTAAAAACACCTCAACAAAATCAACTCAACAAAAGGAACAGATCTGAATACAGGTAACTGAGAAAAAACTTTAGCAATTTCAATGTCACTCAGCTAATTTCTAACACTGACATTCCCAAAATGTTTACGATGGGATGGAGAGGAAGCACCCTGTATACCACTTGTCTCAAATGGTATAGGCCAATGATGGCAAACCTTTTAGAGACCGAGTGCCCAAAAACCACCCCCACTCTGCCCCCACTCCAGCCCTGTCCCCCCTCCCCCTTGCCCCACTCCATCCCACCCCCACCCCCTGTAGGGCCACCCACCGCCTCCACGGCCCACCGCAGATCGTCCAGGCATCCCAACAGCGCCATGGCAGCCACGTCCTCTGCCCACGCCCCACAGCATCAACTGCGCGTGATGGGGCGTGAGGGCAGAGTCTTGTCCCCAGTGCCCTGCTGCCATGTCCTTGGCTGCGCTGCTCCGCACGGGCTGTGCTTGGGGGCGATTCTCCAGGGGGGGTTGCTGGTGAGGAGGGGGCCATGGGGGGGAGGCGGGGCTGGGGCAACGGTGCGTGTGCTCTAAGAGAGGGCTCTGAGTGCCACCTCTGGCATGCGTGCCATAGGTTTGCCATCACTGGTATAGGCTTTCCTGCTTGAGCAGGGGATTGGACTAGAAGACCCCCGAAGTCCTTCCAACTCGGTTATTCTGTTAAGAAAAGCCATAATGGCTACAAAAGCTCCCCTACTGTTCAACACAGAGGAAGTGAATCACGATGCTTTCTAAGCATGAAAGAAAAAGAAATAAAATTACACGTTTGCAATAGTAGCGAACATTACATGTACTTTTGATGGTTTTTGAAGAAGCTACTTGGGTTTCAAGAAGGTAACTTTTAACCATTCCATAATATTTTAGAAAACATAGGCACCTTTTTCTTTTTTAGTTCTGGCATCTGTCAGGCAAGCTTTGGAGCTCCCAAGGGCTACTAGCCACCTTTGTCGCTCAGCAGCGTTAACAGCTTTCATGTAAAAATGTTGTTCTCCTGGAATTATTAGCTCCATTCTGGTGCTATCTGTAGGATGAACTTAGGAAAGAGACAAAACATAAAATAAGCTTATACATTTTGTAAAATCACTTAGAATAAGAAAAGTGTTAGCTAAATAAAAATGTATTCATATATCAAATTTAACTGCCCATCTCCCAAATATAAAGGCTCTGGAGCAGGGGTAGGCAACCTTGGCTCTTTTATGACTCGTGGACTTCAACTCCCAGAATTCCTGAGCCAGCATGGCTCAGCATGGAAACCTCTCCCTTTCCCCTCAGCATGGCTGGCTCAGGAATTCTGGGAGTTGAAGTCCACGAGTCATAAAAGAGCCAAGGTTGCCTACCCCTGTTCTAGACAATGTACAATTTAATCAATATAATAAAAGATTTTTAAAAATAAATAATTTAGGTTTTTTTTAATATAAAATGTATTACTTTGGGTATGGGATTGACAAAGCAGTGCTAACAGGCACAAATGCACTTGCATTAACCCCTCCCTCCCATGGCATTGTAGAAGAATAACAGAAGGGTATACTTATGTAATTAGTGCTGTTCTCTCTGTGCTTCTGTGATATCAACATATATTTCATTCTTCAGGTTCAAGAGTTTGTATTCAAAGGTAGACTACACTTACTTAGATGTTTCTCTGTGTTTTATTAAAAATTGCCATCAAAGGCAGGTACACCTAGTGCAGGGGTAGGCAACCTTGGCTCTTTTATGACTCGTGGACTTCAACTCCCAGAATTCCTGAGCCAGCATGGCTGGCTCAGGAATTCTGGGAGTTGAAGTCCACGAGTCATAAAAGAGCCAAGGTTGCCTACCCCTGACGTAGTGGAATCAGGAACAGAAGCAGACATACTTTTAAACTAAGGAAAAAGATGTCTCAAGGACATGTTCAGTCTTGAAAACTATGTTTAGTTCCAGAATTGAGCTCATGTCCATTTCTTAGGATCCTTCTTCTCCCCCAAAGTTGCTATGGCTCCATAGTGTGTGTTCCTACAAGTAAACAGTTTAGAACCAGAAAAGCCTAACTGTACACCACCACGCCTTAGCTCTGATAACTGCACAGGCCAAAATAAAAGGCAAATTCCACAGTGCCAATCTTACCTTTGATTTCACAAACGGCCATTTTTATACTTCCTTTGCTGCCTTTACCAACATCATCCTGTGAATCGTAATAGGACAATATCCCGTTATCCAGAACAAACCAGCGAGGCTTCCAACCTAAGAAAATAGCAGAAAACAGTGTTCATTTGTTTTGCTACAAATATAATTTTCACATACACTGCAACACCATCCTTCATATAGAACAAGGTTCAGGTTTATTCACATTATGTTTGGGAATAAATGCTGCCCTTTTAATAACATAGATAGACTAACCTACATTTTGAAAATTGATATTTATTAGATAGAAAGACCTAAATAGCTCGTCTAAAGAACTTTAAATTGCTGATAAATTTCACTTCTGCAATTCACTCTGCTGGCACAGATGGACATGTTAAGTTTAGGCATCTGATGTTTTCAAAGATTTATACAGCTGTCATATTATATAAAGTAGCTCTAGGTGGCTAACAACAAATAGACAAATTATAGGTTTCTTTTTCTAAACAACAAATAGACAGATAATAAGATCCAAACAAAGAAAAATCTTTTAATACCATCAAGCACTATAACAATCCCATCATTAAACCACCAATACAGGGCTCATCTTAGCAGCCTTTGGGAAGCCAAGAAGATTTGGCGCCCTGCACACTTCAGAGGGGAGGCAGATGCACAAGTTAGGCACATCTACAAGAAAGGTTTGCTTTCTAGAACCCACCAGATTTGGGGGGGGGGGACTTACAGCGAACTTCACCTATTGCAATCTAGTGACGTGGATAGAAGTCCTCCAGGAGAGGAAGATAACTGATAGGCAGAATCTTCAAAGAAGCCCATTCAGCTGAGCAATAGTGGTATAACATGGTTCACCTGTGAGGTGTCCAGAATTACACACCCTGCTGAATTCTGGATTAGATAGAATTTCCAGTTGCAGGTGGCTTTACAGAGCAGCTCTGCGTAGGGTGCATTGCAATAGTCCAAAATGGGAAGTGACCTGGGCATGACTGACTATGAGCAGAAACTCCAAGTCCTACAACGGTGCAGCTGACACACAAGCTGAATCTGTGCAAAGGCCCCTCCCCAGGACATGATTGCCATCTGCTCTTTGAGCAGGAGTCATTAGTGCAGGAAGTCCTCCAAATTGTGCGGCAACCGTGTCAAAAATGCAATACAGTAACTCTTCAGATCCAGGGGTCCCAAACCCCAGAGACTAGAGTCATGTAGCTAGTTTCTTTTCATCCAGATTCACATCCTCCACGCACTCCATATATTGCAGAAATCCAAAGACTTGCACAGAGCAGAACAAGAAAGGGACAACAGTATCAACCAAAAGCAGTGCCACAGTTGTCAAGCCAAAGCCTTGATTAAGCAATTTATGGCTCTCACTGCACCAATCAGCAAAGCTGTTTGATTCTGGATGCAAATAAGGCTTTGCTAAACCCAAAAGAGCATGGTAATTTTTGCCCTCAGCTGACCCCATAAAAGAAAAAAATATTGGGTTTTTTTCAAATCTAATTTTACTCTAATGACTTCATGGAGTAAATTATGTAGTTTTCTTCGTAAAATTATGGAAGCAGCATGACCTCTTCCAGAATATGTGTGGGCATGTCTTTAATTCCAGAGTCTAGTTATAGCCTTTTATAGATTACAGGTAGTCCTTGACTTATGACCACAACTGAGCCCAAAATCTAGGGTGCTAAGTGAGACATTTGTTAAAAGGGTTTTGCCCCATTTTACAATCTTTCTTGCCACAGTTGTTAAGTGAATCACTGCACTGTTAAGTTAGTAACACGGTTAGGTGAATTTGGTTTCCCCATTGACTTTGCTTGTCAGAAGGTTGCAAAAAGGAATCACATAATCCTGGGAAACTGCAACTGTCATAAATGTGAGGCAGTTGTCAAGCATCCAAATGCAAATCATGTGACCATGAGGGAAGCTGCAATGGTCATAAGTGTGAAAAATGGTCATAAGTCACTTTTTTCAGTGCTGTTGTAACTCCGAACGGTCATTAAGCAAACTGTTGTAAGTCAAGGACTACCTGTATTGACAAGATGCAGAGCGAAGTATTTCTTTCTAATAAATAAGCATCAAGAAAAGTCTGATGATTCAACTCTGATGTTTTCCCCCTTAGTTTAAATTATAAATCTCCCAAAGTTGTGGGGAATCAGGTGGCCTATAAATTGTGTAAATAAATTCTAAATACCAACCACAATCAATAAATAGATGCCTAACCAAAGGCCCCAAATTCCAAACTATTTCAAGCAAACTATCGCATCTAATAAGCAGTAATATTATATTTATAACATAAGCCTTCTTATGAGATCCATCCTGAGGATAATTCAGCTTATGAGATGAAGCATACACAAAATGTACACTTAAAATGCAGGAAGTATCATCAAGATGACTCATGTTAAAACGTGCAAACTTTCCTGAAGTGGTTCCTCCTCATTGATACATCTAATAATAATGAGATCAATTACAGGACAATTTTAAATACCCTTTTGATTATTTTTTCATCCAGAAAGACCTAATCGCTATTATCTAGGGAGCGAATAAAACAAGGAGAGAGTGAAACGAAGTAGATTTTCTTCTGAAATAAAGATTCAAGGTAGAAAGCTTAAAAGGTATCTACTGCAAGTAGTCCTCGACTTACGACCACAACTGAGCCCAAACATTCTGTTGCTAAGTGAAACATTTGTTAAATGAGTTTTGTCCCATTTTACAGCCTTTCTTGCCAGCTGTTAAGTGAATCACCGCAGTTAACTTAGTAACACGATTTTAAGTGACTCTGGCTTCCCCGTTGACTTTGCTTGTCAGAAGGTCGCAAAAGGGGACCTCATGACTCTGGGACCCTGCAACCGTCATAAATGTGAGTCATTTGCCAAGCGTCTGAATTTTGATCGTGTCACCCCAGAGATGCTGCAATGATCGAAAGTGGGCAAAACAGTCATATGAGTCCCTATTTTTTCAGTGCCACTGTAACTTCGAACGGTCACTAAAATGAACCGTCGTAAGTCGAGGACTACCTGTACTCAAGCCACTAAGCTGCTGAAATGCCGAAGCCTGCTTTAAGCCAGGGCCAAGGGACTTTACGCTCTGGATTACAAGCCGTTTCAGCGCAGGAATGGACTGCTCCATCATTCCTAACCCTTGGCTGGGAATGATAGGAGTTGGAGTCCAGCATCTAAAGAACTACAGGTGCCGGGCTGTGCCTTTCATCTCCCTCCAGGGCAGTGGTTCTCAACCTGTGGGTCGGGACCCCATTTGGGGTCAATCGACCATTTCATGGGGGTCGCCAAGCAAGGCTGTCCGCCATTTTTTTTGTCCGCCATTTTTTTCCCCGCCATTTTTCCCCTTTTCCGGCGGGTGCCTTACCTCCCTTGGGCTGGGCCAGCTGGTGGTCGGCCTGCTCCGTCTCTGCCGCTTGCCAGCTATGCCTCGGCCAGCACAGGGGGCGGAACCACGCATGCGCGGCGCTCCCGGGCAGGGAAAGTCCTCGACTTACGACTGGTTTAGTCCTCGACTTACGACCGGTTTAGTCCTCGACTTACGACCGGTTGGGGTCGCGGCATTAAAAAGGTTGAGAACCACTGCTCCAGGGGTAGGCAACCTTGGCCCTTTTATGACTCGTGAACTTCAACTCCCAGAATTCCTGAGTCAGCAGGGCTGGCTCAGGAATTCTGGGAGTTGAAGTCCACGAGTCATAAAAGAGCCAAGGTTGCCTACTCTTGTCAGCCAGCCGCCTTGTCTCTTCTTACAAGACTTTGACCGGGCAAGGCTTTGCCTCTTTCCCTCTTCCAGAGGCGGCTGCTGCTGCTGTCCTTCCCCCCCCCTCCCCCTGCTTCGCTCGAATATCGGGAGAGAGGCGGCGCCTTTATTCCTCCTCGGCGTCTTCAAAGCAGAACCAGCAACCGAAGGCCGCGAGGCCAACGGACAGGGCAGCCCAGCCCCACGCGCCACTGACAGGAGCCCGCCTTGCCTCCTTCCAGCTTACCTGTCAGGTAATTCGTCCACTTGTACAGGACGCCTTCCATCGTTCAGAGCCGCGCCTGGCGCACCATCCTGCTCGCCCGCCTCTCCTCCTTCAAGAGCAGCACCAGCGGCGGCAAGGCCGGCCCTTCTCCAGCCCCGCAGCCTTCCAAAGGCGCCGGCGGCGGTGACAGCAGAGCAGCAGCAGCAGCAGCAGCAGGAGGAAGAGGAGGAGGAGGAGGAGGCGGAATCCGCGATGGGCATCGAGGGGCTGAGAGGCTTAGCTCGAAGGGCAGCCTCCTCCGCCGCCGCCGCCGCCGCCGCCGCCTTTGGGTCCGGCTGCAGTGGGAGACGCGGCTGTCCAGGCGTGGTTGGAGTCACTCATTGCCCGTCTCTGAGGAAACAAAACAATGAGCGACGTCTCTTCTCCCGGGCTCGCCTCGCCTGCCTCCTCGGTCGCTTGCTTGCCTTCGCCTTCCCCTTCCCCTCCCCCTTTCCCGGGCCTGGGCGTTTGGTGCCATCGACCCTGACGTCTCATTTACTTCCTGGATGCAGGAAGAAGATGCTGGCTGAAGCAAAACAGGCCCTTGCGCGCATGCTCGCATCGTGGCGGAACTCCGAAGAATATCGTCGCCTGCCATTTCCCATTCCTCCTCTCCCCCCCCCCGCCCCCGGCAGGAACGAAGATGGGAGACTCTGCGTGTACTCCAGGCTCTCCCACCTGTCTACATATGTGAGATGTAAAAACCCCAAATTTTGATACTCGCAATACGAAGACAAGCCTGGTTAACAAAACAAAGGTTTATTGGAGAATAACGTAAAAAGAATGAACAAACTTTCTCACACATTTGGCAGTACATTGCTACATTTGCGTTACAGCAGGGGTAGTCAACCTTGGCTCTTTTATGACTCGTGGACTTCAATTCCCAGAATTCCTGAGCCAGCTTAGCTGGCTCAGGAATTCTGGGAATTGAAGTCCACGAGTCATAAAAGAGCCAAGGTTGACTACCCCTGCGTTACAGTGTTATATTTGTGTTAAATAGACAGTCTCATACATATTGGCATTACATTTCTACAATTTTATAAAAGAATAACTTTTACTTCCTTCACGTACCAATGTAAAATCTAACCGCATTTGCTTCTTTGCTATCTAATTCGTCTTTGCCTGGAGGAACATATCCAGTATCCCTATGGGACAAGTCTTGCTATAGTTCCAGTCTGGCTGGATAGCATCGCTGGCCACAGGCATCGGTTTAGAAGGCTTGCCTGCTCACCTCATAGTATAAATGAAACCGTTCAAGAAAATAGTGGAGGGTGGGAAGCCTAAGAGGGAACTTTCCCAAAGTATGACCGGTGCTTCCCTTTCGCAGCCTCGGAGAAAAAAAGAAATCGCACCCACGAGGCAGCAAGAGACTTCAATCCTGCTCATCCTATCCATGTCTAATAATCACCCTCCCTCGCCTGAACTAAACGAGAAAACGCAGCAAGAAATGCAAAGCCAACACTCTAAAAAGTCCAACGACCGCACGCTTTCTCTCAAGCAGTGTTTCTCAACCTTGACAATTTTAAGGCATGTGGACTTCAACTCCCAGAATTCCACAGCCAGCAATGCTGGCTGTGGAATTCTGGGAGTTGAAGTCCACATGCCTTAAAATTGTCAAGGTTGAGAAACACTGCAAAGGGGAGAGGGAAAGGAGGTGAGGGGGCAAAGAAATAGGAGCAAGGCGCACCTACGCCTTTTACGCATCCGCCGGAACAGGGCAAAAGAGCAAAGCGGCCTACGTAGAGGGGAATAGCCGTGGCCACGCCCCTCTCGGCTCCCGTGACGTCGAACAATGCTACTATAGTGCCACGCAGCCCGAGGACCGAAGCTTGCAACGATGGCTTTGCGCGCGGGACCCTGCTTTCTCCTGCAGGCATTTGCCCTCCTCCTTATTCCGTCCTATGGGCAGAAGGCGGCGGGTCCCCCTGCAGAAGATGTCCAGATAGAAATCGTGCACGTCCCCGAAGTCTGCGAGCCCAAGAGCAAAAAGGGCGATCTACTCAATGCCCATTACGACGGTTACGTAGGTAGTAATAAGACCAAGTTTTATTGCAGGTAAGTTTATGGCGGTGCACTCTTTTTAAACTCTCACCTCCGTCAGCTTACTTTAGATAAAATGCCGCTTTGGCTGATCTTCTGGCAGTGTCACAGTTTGGTTACTCAACTGTGTAGATGTACTCGAAGGCAGTTTTTAGTAATATTTAGTTCTGCTGCTTTCCAGAGGTTTATGCCCCAAGGATGCAGATGTTCTCAGCATACTTTGATAAAACTCTGTATTGCCCTGTATGCATATCCTGTGTCTCCCCTATCAATCTCCCCTCAGTATAATTATGTTACCTATGAGAAACATTTGTAAACAAACACTACAAGCTCAGGAAGCATTAAAAACTCGATTGAGTTGTGTACTATATATGCCAAAAGATTGTATTCAGATACAAATGTCCCTCCTATCAACTCTCTTGACTTAATGTGGTGATTCGGTGCTACATTGCTCAAATCCTTAAGTCAGGAATAATTTGGTTTTCAACTAGCATCACTGGCAGATGCTTGCCCTTGATTACAAGAAGCATGAACGGGAAATATACTAGATAACTCCCTTGTGCTTTTGATGCACTTTCAGCAGGCTGGTGAAGCTACTGGTGGACCCTTCCTATTGTCTGGACAACTCTTCATTTGCTTCATATGACCACAGTAGTACTGAGGATCTCTGCCATTAACAGAGATTTAAACTGGTTTTTAATAATTAAGGTCCTATCTGTAGTTATAGCCACGCCAAGGTTACATTAAGTGTAAATACTAACAAAATTATGAGTGTGTAAGATAAACGGGAAAGCCTGTTGCATTCTTTGGGTCCACGTAGAAAAAATATCATTGCTGATATTATGCTAATATGTTGAGCTAATTTCTTAAAGTATACTGTTTCTTTTCTTTGCAGTCGCACACAAAGCGATGGCCATCCAAAATGGTTTGTCCTTGGTGTTGGCCAAGTCATTAAAGGCTTAGATATTGCAATGATGAATATGTGTCCTGGAGAGAAACGAAAAGTGATTATTCCTCCTTCGCTTGCCTATGGAGAACAGGGCTATGGTAAAATATGGCTAAATATGAAAATCTTTTTTTATTGCATAATTTGGCATCCAGACTAAAGAGGATTCTTGAGATGCCAGAGCATGTCACTTTTACGTACCAGTAACACAACTTTTCCTTTTTTTTAATCAGCATTTTTTTTTCTCTAAATGTTACTTATCCATCAGCACTTATGGAGTGACAGTGGCACTGAGAAATTGCTGCTCACTCTCAGGTTCTTTGCACAGTCATTTAATAATGTTATTAGCTGCAAGATGTAAAACAAAAAAGTACGTGCAACAGAATGAGCCAAAGGACCTGGCAGCCTAAAATACAGCAAGGAGAGGAAGGAAGGAAGGAAGAGAACTATCCTTAAGGCACTTTTTCTTCTAAGTTAAAGTTAATGAAATCAGAGGGGAGAGCCCCCTAAGATTCAGACTTTCCTAACACCAATAATAACTTGATTTCCATACCCATGTTACTGCATTGTGATCCGTCAACAGATATTATATAACAGTGATGGCGAACCTTTTAGAGACCGAGTGCCCAAACTGCAACCCAAAACCCACTTACGCATCGTCGGGTGCCGGGTGGGTGTGGCCCATTGGGTGGGCGTGGCTGCGGTGGTAACAGCAGACTGGGTGGGACTATAAAGTTCAATCAATCAATTCCAACTTTGCAAGATCTTTTTTTTTCCCACAAGAAGTTGAAATTGATTGATTGAACCTTTTTTTTTGTGTACACGGCGGTGGAGGCCTAAAGCGAAAAGGTTTTATAAAACCCAGCTGAAGGCCTAGGACTGGGGCGATGGCATGCGTGCCCACAGAGAGGACTCTGAGTGCCGCCTCTGGCATCCGTGCCATAGGTTCACCACTACTGTTATATAACAACACATGAGCATTGTGGAGATTAATGATGATTCTTTTTTCAGGCAGCAAATGAAGAAAGTATTTTTTCTCCCAACCTACAACCTGCTTGTTCTCTATCAGAGCATACTCCTGCATGCTGGGCAAAGATGACCTAGTTAAGAATGTCAAGAATGCATGTGGCTTTTTGCTTCTTTCCAGGGTATTCCTGTGGTATGTATTGCTCTTGGAATTGCTAGTGACTGAATTCTTTTATTAGGCCTTGCTACTAGATCTTGAAATGGAAGGGAGGGGAAATATAAGTAGTCTGTGTGGCTGCTGCATGTGATTTTAAAAATGGCAAGATAATGATCATTGAAATGTCCCAGTTTTATGAAATTACCCTCCCAACCCCCCACCCTCAACTAATATATAACAGGGTACATATGCATAACTCTCTAAATGTTCAATTCAATTACCTCAATTAGTTGTTTTAGGAAATATTGGTGTTCTTTTTTCATAATTGGCCAACCTGACGTATTGTGGGTAAGGTTCAAGTTTGTACAGTACTCAATGGGCATCAGTGTAGCTGTGACAGACCTAGATGGCACTCACAATTTAAGCATCTGTGCAATCAGTCTGTAGTGATTGTCAAAACCTTACAAGATTTGACTATTTCTAAATCCACATGAAAATTTTGCCAGTCCACATTTATACATATAGAGAATTGTGTTAGTCTCTGCCTGTTTATTAACAGTGAATTCTTTATATGGTTTTTTTATTTCAAAATTGTTTGTGATAAAGAACATACTTTAATTTTTAGTTTTCAGAGCTACATATGGATGTTCCAGAATAAATTCTCAGATTAAGGAATGACAAATCCCTATGACCCAACTCTTACTCACTTGTATAAGCAACTCCTGCTGCATTTCAGGCAAAAGTCTTTCCTAGCCCTAACCAAGTCATTTTGAATGTAGTCACTTTGAATAAGTTCCCCTATGAAGAAGAGACTAGCTCCTTCCTCTACTGACTAAATGCACGTGCATGGCTTGTGAATCACTTTTCCAGACTAATTCTGGAAACTCCTTCAATAATAGCACCTGTCTCCAGTGTTCAGTGTTGTTATTTCTGAAAACCTGCTAAATCTTATATATTCCATTCTGATGTCCATTTTCCTTTTCTGAGGTCCTTTTGTCTTTCTTGAAATGTTAAATCAGTGGTTCTCAATCTGTGGGTCGGGACCCCATTTGGGGTCGATCGACCATTTCACGGGGGTCGCCAAGCAAGGCTGTCCGCCATTTTTTTTTGTCCGCCATTTTTTCCCCTTTTCCGGCAGGTGCCTTACCTCCCTTGGGCTGGGCCAGCTGGTGGTCGGCCTGCTCCGTCTCTGCCGCTTGCCAGCTACGCCTCGGCCGGCGCAGGGGGCGGAACCACACATGTGCGGCGCTTCCGGGCAGGGAAAGTCCTCGACTTACGACCGGTTGGGTAGTCCTCAACTTACGACCGGTTTAGACCTCGACTTACGACCGGTTTAGTCCTCGACTTACGACCGGTTTAGTCCTCGACCTACGACTGGTTGGGGTCACGGCATTAAAAAGGTTGAGAACCATTGTGTTAAATGTTTTCTTGCTGAAGCCTCTCTCCCTTATTCCTAAAAGTCCACATACTAATAAGAACAGAAGGATGAAATTAAATTTCTGATCTGCCAGCGCTATGTGACGCAGATACAGAACTCATATCATAGTCAACACAGTGAGAGCACCAACCAAGCACCCGATCCTACCATTTACTATCCTCCATTGGCACAGCAAAAGACTTCAGGATGAAGAGTGCACTGGGCACTGTTCGTTTACATTGTGTCTTTGATGATGGAAGATTTACTCCAACCCAGTGGTTCCACAAAGCACTTCCCTCGATGTAAAATCCATCATTACCACATTGCTGAAGAGCTGTTGACATATAGTGGTCTGTGGTTAAAATGATCAGAAATCAGAATGTGCATTTCCTATAACTTTCCTGTTACATTCTTAGAACCAGCAAAGATTCCACCCAATGCAACACTGATGTTCGAAATTGAACTGTATGCAGTAACTAAAGGACCACGGAGTGTTGAAACATTTTCTCAAATAGATCTGGATAGTGACAAAAAGCTTTCAAAGGAAGAGGTATGAAGAATAATATTCTAAGTCACTTCATTAAAGCATTTCATTTGTTTTACAGAATCAATTTATGAAGTATTGTGGAATAAATGTATGAACCGCTTTCTTTTTCTAATCATTTTTTTTATTTTTTTATTTTTGTTCTTTTCTTGGAAAGGGATGGCTGAATCATCACTAGTTCAATTAGTTTATTCACTTTTGATGTCTGTTTTAATAGAGTAAAAAATGCTATTTTTTATCAGTCCTCCAGGGTTGTTTGAATTCAGTGTGGCTTTAAAGCTGGGTGGACAAGTTGTTACTCTGGATACCAGTTCCTAACCTTCATTATTAGTTATGATGACTAGTGTTGATCAAATTCAGAATTCAACAATTTACGGGGGTCGCATGTTGTCCATCCCTGTTTTAAACCCCCTTTGTGTGGGACCCAGGTTCATCTCCAAGACTTTATGACATTAGCCATGAGTATATAGGTAGTCTCTAATTTATAACTGGTCACTTAATGACATCCAAAATTACATTGGCAGGACTGGGTACTTTATGATCCATAAAGCACTCCTGACTATCATAAAAAGTCCCACCCTCCCTCCTATAATCACTTGAACAAATTTCAGCTCACCTTTACAATGGTTTACAGAATCCCATAATCTCCTGACTGCAATTTGCCACATGTTTTGCAGATTTTCAGTTAAATACACCCATTCAGAAGAATGGGTTCGCACTTACAACTGCAGCATTTTCTTAATGACCATGGATTCACTTAATGACTGGTGATTCACTTAATGATCTCTACAAACTGTTGTAAAATTGGGTCTGGTTATATGGATGTCTCAACTTACGACCATAACGACTTATTCAGTTCCAATTGCAGTAATAAGTCAAGGACTACCTATATTGTTGCATTTATAGTAGAAAACAAGCAATTTTTTTTCTGTGCCTGTCTTGTTCAACTTTGCCAAAAAACACAACCAGACCATTGAATCCTTCTTGCAGATGAGTTACTTTAATTGAGACTCTAGTAGAAGATTCTACTTTACTTCCTCTTTAACAGTGACATTTATTGGATTTATCCCTCATGCAAAACAAGTAGTTTGGAAAAATCATCTTCCTTGATTGTAAGTTGCTGGTGGTTTGTACTAATGATGGCTGCCAGCAAAATGGATCCCTGTAGAAGAACAGATTCTACCAGAATCAACCCCCATGCTCTAGCCCTGCTATGTTTCTTAAAAATATTTTCCAGAAGATTAAAGATGCAAGTGTGAAGTCAGCAAGTAAAAATTTTGTTTTGTGAGTTAAGAGTGTGTTTTGTAGCTATAGAGCAGGGGTGTCAAACTGCCGGCCCGCGGGCCGGACGCATCATCCGGAAGCCGCGCCCACCCCATTGCCGGCAATGGCAAAACCGTCCCGATACGCTGCACGACGTCATGTGACGTCGCGAGTTTGACATGTCTGCTATAGAGGGAAACTTCACATATTTTAGAATATAATGCTTGTCTTCTTTTTATATGGTATTTTGATTTTCAGTAGTTGATTCTCAGTGTATTGGGGTTCATAAGGCTTATTAATGCGCTGCCCATCTTGCTATTTAAAGCGACTCTGGATGGATAGAATACAGTAAAAATAAAATATGAAAACAATTATAAATATAAGAGCAAGTTGAAATTATTATTGTTTTTAATTCCTTTAGATAAACCTTTATTTGAAGAAAGAATTTGAAAGAGATGGCAAAAAACGGGATTCTACTGTTAAAGATACTGTTTTGGTAGATATATTTAAAAGGAATGACCATGATGGCGATGGCTTCATATCTGCCAAAGAATACAATGTCTACCAGCATGATGAACTATAAAAACATACTATTCAAATATCTACTTGCTGCTTTATGGACTTTGGGGATCTTGCAGTTTTCATGGGCCATGGAGCATCCACAAGGAGTTCTGCAGCCATCACAACTCGATGGCTTGGCTGTACTCGCTCCTCTTCCTAAATAAGTCTTTGTAGATGTATCCAAAGGAATTTAAAGCTCTGGCTTGGATTTGATGAATCAAATACACATCACGCACAAAGGTATAATGAAGCAGCTCCTTTGGTTTCACTGGGATTTATCCTTTAGATTTATAACCACATTTTAAAGTCTTTTTAGTGTTACATACCAGTTTATGTACATTCACTGTGATAATTTTTACACTTCTGTATTGAGATTAAAATTTGTTTCAATTATGGTCCTATAAAGTGCAGCAAAAAATAAAATCTGAAAATGGGGTATAAATGGTTTGCGTCCTAAACTAAAAATAAGACTCATAAAGTATGCAAGAGTTTCTAGGATCTAAATCTTTGGAGCCAACATTCCTCAATGGCAAATATTTCCAAATCTATGCATTTGCTATGACATTTTTAGATTAAAAAAAAAATATTTTTAAGATTTTAACTCAAACGTGTACATATATTGCACTATGTAGATCACAGGAAATCCCAGAAAACAAATTTTGGAAAGCAAAATTCTCTTAATAAATTATTCTGAATTGATATTTATTTTTATAACTAGAAAACTTTTAAAAACAGAGATTCAAATAAGAAACTTTTTGGTTCTGTCTTTTACATGTTTGCAGTCAAAATTCACAGAGCTTGATGGCACAATCAAATGTTCAGATTCAGAATTGGATCCAGAATAAGTTAGTTGCATTTAAATTCCACTGAAATCGAGATGAAAAGATAGCTGTGAGTTAGCTAGTTCCATTGGTTTTACAGGGAACAAAGTACAATTAGCTTTGGAGCCAGCCCTTAAACATTTATCAGAAATCTACTTGATTCTTTTGTGCCAGAGATCAAAACAAGGCACAGCATGAAGTCGCACAAACTTTTGTCCATTACAAGAACATTCAAGGCAACCATAAACTGTTTCCCTTCTGGAATTCCCCATACCACATAAAGAACAACGACCTTTAGGAATGTTGTTATTAAGCAAATTAACTCGTACATGGGCTCCTTCTCGAAAATAGTTTGTTGAAATGTCAGTCATGCTTGCTGTTTTTTCATAATAATCTGCAAAAAGGTCATCTAAATAATTATCCGAGTGGACAATGATATCCATCACCCTTTTGTCTGTAAGAAAGCAGACATAAAGAAGAAAGAGTCTTAAATGCAAGTGGCATATTATATGGCAGTGATGGCGAACGTTTTAGAGACCAAGTGCCCAAAACCCGGCCCACCTCTACTCTGTCCCCCCCGCTCCGCCCGCCCACAGGGCCACTCACCACAGATCACCCAGACAGCCTTGCAGCGCCATGGTGGCCACGCCCTCTGCCTGCACCCCGCAGCATCATCTGCACATGATGGGGCGCGAGGGCGGAGTCTTGCTCCTGCTGCCCAGCTGCTGGTGAGGGGGGGCTGGGGCAACAGCATGCGTGCCCACAGAGGGCTCCGAGTGCCACCTCTGGCACGCGTGCTATAGGTTCGCCATCACTGTTATATGGGTTACACAGTAAAATAGCTGCAACATACACTTCAGTTTAGAAACTGCATTTAGATAGTATTATTCCACACTCCATAGATAGTATTATTCCACACTCGCTATTAATAGAATAATTTTAGCTGCTTAATAGGATGCTATTATGACATCTCATTCAAACGTAATCAGTGATTTTTACTTTCTTTTTTTCTATCTCATGAATATATGCATAGGAACAAAAATATGCATAGGTATGTGTCACTTAAGCATTAATTTTAGTCAGTGCTTTTTTTGTAAAAAAAAAAAAAAAAATGCCGGAACTCACACACGTCATACAACCAGCCTTGCCTACCCTACAAGGTTCCATCCAAAAAAGGTGCTGGAACTCCATAGACCCGCAAGATACTGTTTTTTTTCGGGACTAAAACAATGATTTAAAAAAAACTTAAACACATAGTTCTATCAGACTTCCTTCCAAGTAAGACAAGATACTTATGAATTCTATTTGAGACTAAGGAGGTGTCATTGTCTTTAATTTGAACGGTGGGGAAATGTCTTACCTTTTACAATTCTCGTCTCAATATAGTATATGAACCTTCACATCTTCAAAGCAGCTAACAACACTCTGAGTAATATTTTAATTGGGGATTTTATACATTTTATCCTCCTTCCTCAATAGGTCAGGGATCAAGTATATGTAAAATTTCTTCAATGATTATATTCTCTTAATCTAGATCAGAGAACTGATTGCAGGAATTTGGGAATATCTGGATTATAGTATGTTAGACTTTAAATACTATAATATAGCTATAACATTTTATTGCTGAACATTGAAAGGTGTCTCCCTAATCTACAATTTTATATGAAGTAAATTCAATCATGTTAATTAAAATATATGCAATATGCTTATTTTGAAATCAATCAATTTTAATTGATCCCATAACAGTCTTCCTGTTATTCTGATTTAAAAAACCTATTCTCACTGCTATTAAAGGCTGATAATAACATCTTTAAATTAAACTAAGAAATGTGAATAAATATTAAATATCATACTTCGACGAAACAAATTTTTCCTTAATTTGGTTAGTGAAAATGATCTTGATGGTTCTTTTTCAAATCCTCCTTTTGATTCTGGAGCAACACAAAGTTCTGGGAGAGAAAAAAATATTTGAAATAGTGTTACTCAAATGCAGCTTTTTTTAATTACTCTTATTACTGTAAAGTAAACAAAATATTGGTTCCATTTTCATAACTTAATAATCCTTTACTATGTTATAGATGTCACATCCTTCCAACTAAGGCGTTACCTGTAAACCTGAACCTTCGTCTAAAAAAACGATCTAGTCAATGGGGTTTACCAAAAGACTACTAAATACATTTACTTCGACTATTTTCTACATGATAATGAATAAAGACCTTTGAATACAGTGCAGATATGATTGTGTACCCCATTTTCTCTTTTGGCCCCTTTTGATCTTTTCATTCTAAATCAGTGTTTCTCAACTTTGGCAGCTTGAAGATTTGTGGACTTCAATTCCCAGAATTCTTCAGCCAACATACTGGCTGAGAAATCCTATCTATGAGACGAAATTGACACGTCTTCAAGCTACCGCTGTGGAAAAATAATGTTCTAAGCAATGCAACAGTTCTCCCCCTCGATTCCAGACAAAGCTGCTGGTGTGAAAAACATGTACTGAAGATAAAATAATGGCAATCATTTTTTTTTAAATTTTAGGTAGCTTCAAATCAAAAGAGAGAAATGGGGACGGTACAATTGATTACAGCATGCAGATCTCCCCCCCCACCACCACCAATATACAGGAAATTGTTTTGCTGCATGACAGCATGTATCTTTATCTTTTAGACTGCTCAGTACTTGAATTTGTCTTGAGTAGCATACAAGGAAAATAAAAACATCTTTTAGCCTCTAATACTATGCTAAAAACAATAGATAAAGAAGCCGGGAGAAAACCTGACACAAGAGTAAAAAACAACGTAGAGAACTGAATGTATGCCAGCCGCAAAAGAAAATTATTCAAAAATCTCTTAAGCATCAGATTTTACAAGTATCTCAACTTGAACATTCATGCTTGCTAACGTGATTTCCTACTGCTACCTGCCAACAGTAACTAAAGAGTGGCTGCAACGTAATCTCCCTTGTTTATTCCACCTATACGTATCTGTTTTTTTGGTGTGGCTTGGGAAGGGAGCAGAATATGCAGAAGGAACAACAAATCCATCTCTCATTGCTAATAGATCATGGCAGTAACTGGAGACTGTGATGTTTTTCAGCCAGACTACAGATTCAGTTAGTGCAACCATCAATCTGATATATTACATCAGAGCACTACTTAATACCCGTTAGTTAATAACCGTTAAATAACTATTGAACTGGGCTGCAACAGATAAGCAGCAAAAATGGAGTTTTCAAATGAATATTACATGACTGTGTTGCTCAACCTGGACTCAAACTATTCAGGACAACAGCACTTCTTTTAGGCTAATCACCTTAATTAGTATGTTGTTTTATTTTTATCAGTTTAACTGGCTGTAAGCTGTCTAGCCTAGACAAGTCTTATTTCTGGACATTATTACAGTCTCTATCATGCTTCTAATAAAATGAAGCTTGCATTTTTTTACAACAAAACACAATGTTACTAGCTCTCCTCTATTTTGCAATTCATTCTCTATTGCTGTTTCCCAAGCAGCTTTCTTGCTATGCCAAACTCCAGCTGAAAAAATATACAGGAGAGGAGGAACAAGCAATGATAAGATGAAGAGAAGGCAGAGAAGGGTTTACTTTCCCTCACCTATATAGCCTTTTTATATAAAAGTCACTTCCTTATTTCATAAAACCTAATTGCCTCCTACTAAACTGAAATTATTGTTAAATGCTTCTGCATGTCATATTGTAGTTATGGAACCATGCAAAATAAGATTATCAGGTTGTGTCTTACATTTGCATTGTGAGATGAAGCATGGGTGTATTCAGGTTTAGGCTCTGAAAAAGAATAACCTGAATCATACCATCAGTCAAGACTGCAGGCCAAATATTACTTACCAAAATCACCATCCAGGCGAATATAAAGTTCAAATATGCTGAATGCAATTGTTGTATGTGCAGGGAAGACAATTGCTTTGTCACATCCTTTGTAATTATGTTCATCAATAATATGAAACTAATTGGAAAAGAAACATGCATACTGCATTAATATTTCTCTAAAAATGATAGTATCTGAATAATATATTACAATGTAAGTTCTAGAAAGTAAAGTATATTTTCCAGTAAAACTCTTTTTCAAGGGAAATAGAATCATCCTTGTCATCATCACCAAGAACCAAGGGCAAATGACCAAATAATCCAATGAACAAAGCATGATTAACATGTCTGAAGTACAAATCAGATTAATCTGATCAGATTGAACCTTAGTAATCCCTGGGTTCAATTTCAGTTGCAAATTTGTGGCACATTCATTGGCACAACTCAAGGAAGCACTTGCTTAAGGAATGGTTCAGAAAGAGAAGTGACAAAGACTGTTCTTGAAGGCAAGGGAATCTCATGCATGCATCAAACCTTCTTCTTCAAAGCATATAAATGAACTGGAATGATACATTTAACTGGATAAATCTGCACTGATTTCAGAGTCTGCAGATCTTTGACCTATGTGGAAACTTAACAGGCAAGCAAGACATTTTTTTTGTTTATATAGATCAGAAGTGGGGAACTATGGCCTCTTTATGACTTGTGGACTTCAACTCCCAGAATTCCTGAACCATCACAGCTGACTCAGATATTCTTGAAATTGAAGTCCACAAGTCATAAAAGGGCCACAATTCACCATCCCTGATATAGACTGACTAGATCAACTATACATTTTTGGGTGAAAAGCAGTTTCAGCATTCCTTATTTCTACTACAAGAGCAATTAAAATGGAGTTAATTTGGCTGGTTTTTTTCTGTAAATCTTATTTAAATGATTATTAAAATGTATAGAAGATGACTTTGTAATAAATCAGTATGGAATGATGCATATTTAAAGCAGGGATACCTTTGGGGGATGTCAAAAAAAAAGTGAAGATGCTAGGCCCAACCATGGGATCAAAGCTCTGCCCATTTTTCACCTGCCTGCTGTGCAACATATTTTAAAAACGGGTGGGACTTAAATCACATGACTGGAGTCACCATCTTGATTATTTTTATTCTCCTCATGGATGCCTATTTAAAGCCAGAGATAAAGTATCCAATACAAGCGATTTTGATATGTGTGCTCACTTACTCTCATTGTGTCACCTCTCATACCAGCATGAACAGACAGAGAACACTGTCGAGTTGTTCGAATACTCTCCATTACCACACAGAGAACCGTTCTTCTACTTTCTCGTGACTGACGAACAAGGCAGTGCTCAAAATCCACTTTTCTAAAATAACAAAAAAAAAATAGCTCTCAGAGTCCTGCATTATTCCTTTCATGATATCTGAAGTCTCACGTTGGATTTGGGTAATATTCGCAGTTCTCAAAACTCATGCATAGGGTGTAGGTATAAAGTAAGCAAAAACCAGCAAGGCAATAAATATATATATATACCAACCTACTAGTTAGTTCTCTGAGCAATGTTGGCACCTCAACCTCATGCTTAGTTACAATACCGAAAGAAGCCTTCACTGCAAGTGAATCTGACCCAGCAATACTGAGTCCAGAAGAGTTCATGATGTGATTTCCTTGCTTGCCATTAAGGGCTACATCAGATTTGTCTTCATAATTTAGTAATTGATAGGATGAAATACCTAAGGAAAAAGATGGTGTATCGGGGTCTTTAAAAACATCATATTCATCTACGTATATTAAGAGATGACAGACTTAGTGAACATATAAAACCAATCTTGGAATCTTCAGATGAACTCCAGATTATATTATCATAGAAAGGGTTTTCTTATTTTTTTCTTTTTCTGAGGTAGAGAAAATGTCACACACATACACAAACACAAACACACACTGAAGATATCAATATATTTATCTCATTCCTTTTTCAGAGCATATGATTTGCAATGGTGCAAAATATTATGTCATTTCTTATGACACAAAACGTTTTTCATTGTTATCAGCCCAAATTGCAAGCAACAACATTCCTTCCCTATAGAATCAAAAAAGATTTCATGATGTGGTAAGTTAAAATGTTTGTACATAAATCACAGGATAGGTACAGCCATAAAAGATTTTGGATTCCATCGAGACTCAGCTCAGATATACTTCCTTTTTTGCTTTAATTGCAGTGGCATCGAGCCGTAATTAATTTTGGGTGGGCCCTATGGATTATTAAACACTCTACAAAATTGTGAGTTATGTGTGGTCTGTGGTTAACCTTAGGTTTTCTCTGTATTTTAGGATTGGGCTAAACTACCTAGAGAAATACCTTGTGAATCCCTTCCAAATCCAGTGCCTAAAAGATCACAGGCCAGATGTCTGATGCGAATACATGCACTGCTGATGCTTCTGTTGGAACAATTATGGGAGGACCTTGAAGTAGCCATCCTGAGCCTTTGAGAAGATATGACCCTTTTTCATTGTGCACCCTGGGACTCTGTGCTTTCTTCATATAGCTGTGCTCTGAATAGCTTTACAAGGACCTTCTGCTTCTATAATAAATGTTATCAGCAGGATGTCGCTGTAGGACAGAGATGGCGAACCTTTTAGAGACCGAGTGCCCAAAAACTGGCCCCGCCCCCACTCCACCCCCACCCCGCCTGCCCACAAGGACACTCACCGCCTCCAGGGCCTGCCGCAGATCACCCAGGCAGCCTAGCAGTGCCATGGCAGCCATGCCCTCTGCCCGCACCCCGCAGCATCAACTGTGCATGATGGGGTGTGAGGGCAGAGTCTTGTCTACGCTGCCTGGCTGCCATGTCCTTGGCTGTGCTGCTCCACGTGGGCCATGCTTGGGGGCAACTCTCCTCCAGGGGGGGCTGCTGGTGAGGAGGGGGTCGCAGGGGGAGGCAAGGCTGGGGCAACGGCACATATGCCCACAGAGAGGGCTCCGAGTGCCGCCTCTGGCACCCGTGGCATAGGTTCGCCACCACTGCTATAGGAGACCGTGAAGTGTGCTCTCTTCTAATAGTTTCCTTCTTTACGAAGATATGAAAAATGCATTTCTGGCAAACTAAAAGCATTTTCCTATCATTTACTTTAAGACCAAATTAAAACTTTGAAAAGCTAAGCAGCTAACATAAAAGGAAAAACAGGGAAACAGCACTGTAATACGGCCGAATTAAGTTGTGTAAGAAAAGAAATGTCACATTTCATTGGAGTTATAATAAAACGCATGAACTTGTATAATTAAATATTAATGGTGCAGTATTAAGGATATCTGTTACAAAGTAAATCCTATCAAATTCATTTAGGCTTATGTCTAAACAAATATACTAAAATTCACACTGCAATCAGGTATTACATATTTATCCTATTACAGAGAACAGTTCACACAAATGAGTAAATGTTTTAATAACAAAAAGCAAATTGTTAAAATGTTTTCCTCAGCTCTCCGATCCCGTAATGAATGCACTAGCAAAAAAACTTTTTAAAATAAATTCTTAATATCAAGCTATTTGAATTCTTTTTTTTCCTTAACAACAGCTTTGCCTCCCCCCCCCATGCTGCTTTGCTTTCTATTTTGTTATTGTTATTGTTGAGCAAATTATGTTTAGTTTTATAAGCTTTGAAGGACTTTACAGGACTTACCTGCAGAAATTTCTTTCTCTCCTTGAAGAATGTCTTTTAGGCCGAATGGGGTTGACAAAAATTTTGAACTTTTAAAAAGAAAGCAGTTTTTCTTTTTGATAACAAGACTGAGAGGTTGATATTTATCAGCTTCACTGAGGCTACGGACAGGAACTAATCGACCTCCATCACCAACCTGCTTAACAAAACTTTTAGTAGCAGCAGCAAACATATTATACATACACATTTAAAATAATAAAACTCTTGTCAGACTCTTGCAATTTCCAAACCATAGAGCCATGTTAAAAAGTTGATCGATACAGGGGGAAAACTCTACGTTGTCCTAAAGTTGATTATATCTAACTCTCCTTTTCATTGACCAGGTAGAGTCAAAATAATTAATAATAAATTAGCAAAGTAAACTGATAGGACACGGTTAGAACAATACCTTGCTGTAGTACCATTCTAACTTCTACAACACTTTCACACAACATAGAAAATCTGCTATTTTTAACTGCATTTAATTTTTTAAATGATGCATGTTACTATACTATGGGATTTCACCCCTCTAATCTCTGTGTTCTTTTCTGCTATGAAACTAATTCAACCCAAATTTATTTTGGTAGGAATTTTCAGTTAACATGCATAGTTTTGAGATCCCTAAATATCACAGTTCAACTGAGTTGTCTCATTTCTAGAATTTTTATGGAACTCCAGACATTTTTTGTATGTACCCCACTCAAGTTTTCCCATCTTTCCGTCAGTCTTTCTTTCAGATTTAAATATAAGAGACACAAAAAAATGACCAGCTAACAAAATTATATCTTACTTTATTTTTCCATGTTGCCATTCAACATTTAAATAATGAAGTATAGCTTGACTATACAGAATCTTATCTATTTATGTATCTATCTGTTTACCTATTTTTCTGTTTAGGCATTTTTTATTTATACTTCTTAGATATGACTATTAAACATACTAATTTCTTTTTTAATTTAAAAATTTTCTTTGTGTTGTATGTTGTTTTTGGTTTATTTTGAAACTAGAAACCCATGACCCATTGGGTTATTGTTTCAGAGATATCTGCTTACCTAAAAAAAGAAACAGAATGATAGGTGGGCAAAAAAAATCAATGAGAGTGAGAGCAAATTTATTTAAATTGATAAATAAATAAGTAAAATGTATATATTTAAATTATAAATAATGTGAAAAATAAGAAAAATAGCAAAAGAAAAAGATAACAAGAAAAAGGTTACAGACATGAGAGTTTTAGTTTTTATTTTTTCTTCCTAAAAGATTTCAATTTGTTTTTCAATTGAATTGTATAGCTTATAGCAGTGGTGGCGAACCTATAGCACGCGTGCCACAGGCGGCACACAGAGCCGTCCCTGTGGGCATGCATGTCATCGCCCCAGAGGGAGGCGGGGCCAAGCTGCACCCCTCCGCCTCTCCACGTGCGCCTGTGCTCTCGCTCTCTTTATCTCTGCACTGGGAGTCAGGGAGCAGCTGCAAGAGCTGGGCGGGTCAGGGCTGGATGGTGGAGGCAGCTGCCAGCGCGAGTCCAGGTAAGCCTCCGGAGCGATTTTTGCGGTGCCCCAGCGGCCCGATCTGGGCTCTGGAGACCTGGAGAAGGCCTCTGCTGTCCGGATCTATGCATGCAGAGCAATTTCGTGCCCCCCCCAGCCGATCCAGGAGGCAGAGGCCTTTTTGCGGCATCCCAGCAGCCCGTTCTGGGCGGCAGAGGCCTTTTTGCGCTCTCCCCATGGCCTTTCTGGGCGGCAGAGGCCTTTTCCAAGTGGCGGCAGCAGCGTGATCCGTGTGGCGGGTGGGGGGAAGCAACAGGAGAACAGCGCTCTGCGAGGGTTGGGTTGGACGCACGTGGGGCTGCTGCCTTGTGCACAGGCTGGGCTGGGCTGGGCGCAGAGCCTTCATGCCATTTCTTCCCCTGCAGACATCAGGAGCGCCCACCCTGCCGCTGTCCCGCACTCTCCAGCCCGTCACCGGCCAGCCAGGCGCATCAAGCTCGGGCCTCAGGCAGATGGAGGTTGCCCAGCTCCTCCGCCTGTGGACGCATGCAGGGAGAGGTGCCACCCGGCTCAGTAAGCCGCTGTTTGCCCGCAGGAGGAGGATGGGAGAAGGAGGGTTGGCCTGGGATGGGCACAGCGCTGCCCATGGGGGGAATCTGACCAGCCCCAGCCTGGAGGGGGGGAGATGGCAGCGTTTGGGAGGGGGTGTAACTGCCCCCTTTCCCCCCAAGCCATCAGCTGAGCAAGACGCCCTCCTGCCCACTGCCCCACCCGCCAGAGACCCCCTGGATCTCCCCCAATCCTGCCCGGCCCCCAGAGGCATCCCTCCCCAGGAGCAACATCGAGCTGGCCACGCCCACCCTGGCCACACTCACCCAATCTGCCATGACCACCATAGCCACGCCACCCAGCTGGCCACGCCCACCCGGCACCCGGCAATACATAAGTGGGTTTTGGGTTGCAGTTTGGGCACTCGGTCTCTAAAAGGTTCGTCACCACTGGCTTATAGGTTATATTAAAGGTGGAAAAAATTTGAAGTGATTTATCTCAGTTTGATTTTTTTGTCTCAAAAAACTAGCATTTTAACAGGAGTGTTAAATTTTGCTCCATCTCAGGTAGTAAGTTATATGCATATTTTTCTGACACAAGACCCAAACTACATTTATGATATTAATAAGGTGACTAACCGTCCTCCTTTAGGGAGGACAGTCCTCCTTTTGTAAGTTCTGTCCTCCCTCGAAAAGTGTCCTCCTACATGTCCTCCTTTTCGATATTTGAAGACTAATCTGCAGGACTTTTTTTCTCTCATAGAACACTCAGAACAGCGTTCCGGCACCTTTTTTTGATGGTTTTTTTTCAACTTTTGCGTGAGCTGTGCTACTCCCGTTATTGGCTTTCGAAAGCCAATAGGAATTGCTGCTGAGCGTGCCAAAACACCCGGCCGGCAAACTTTGCACAGGCAAGTTGTCTGCAGCGAAGGCAAATTGGCAGGAACTTTGCACCCCTCCCTGCTACCCAACTACACCATCTCCTAGTTAGTCCCAAAGATACCTGGAGGAGACTAACTTCCATTTAGGGATGGAAAAATCAAAAAAGAGGAAATGCCATTTCAACGATAAATTGAATAAGGCATTTCCATTCATCACATCAAAGAAGGATAACATTGTTTTCTGCAATATTTGCACCGGAGAATTTTGTATTGCAGTTGGGGGCAGAGCAGCTATTACAAAACACTTGACCACCAAGAAACATAAGCAATCATCAGATGCATCTGCTTCCAGTTGTAAAGTAACAAGTTTTTTTAAAACTTCAAAGTATTCTGAAGATGAAAAACAGTTAGCTGCAATGGAGGGAACATTTGCATTCCATATCATACCATAATTCACAATCAAAGTTTTCGTAGTATGGATTGTACAACTAAATTATTGAAAAAGTTTCACGATGCTAAATTTTCAGGCGCCAGGACAAAATGTGAGACTATTATTAAATCAGTATTTAAAAATTACTGTGACAAAATACTTACAGAAGACTTGGAAACTGCAGCATTTGTAACGGTTTTATCTGATGCATCCAATCATAATGAAACTAAATTGTATCCAATACTAGTAAGATATTTTAATGTTACCAAGGGCATTCAAGTAAAAATTTTAAATTTAGAATCCATTGAGGGCGAAACTGCTGAAATTTTGTCAAACCATCTATACAGAGTAATAAATGAAAACAATTTGAAATCCAAAGTTGTTGCACTAACA